CCTAAGATGCAGGAAGCTTCCCTCGAGAGCAATGCCAGGTATTGTTCTAAAGCACTTTTACGTGTACTAACCTAAAAAATATCCTCAATAACTCTGAGGTACGTAACTCCATTTTATAAAGAAGGAAATTGAATTCCCAAGAAGTTAAGAAAATCAAGATCTACACAGCAATAAGTGATAGAACTGAGACTTGAATCTACATACTATGACTCTTACCAACCCTGCTTGACCACCTCTTATCCTATATGCATGTATTTCACACAGTGTCCCTGAAGTCCCCTCAACAACAGCATTTTAACTTCTGGTTTTAGTTCTTCTTGAAAAAGAGAGAGAGAGAGAGAGAGAGAGAGAGAGAGAGAGAGAGAGAGAGAGCGCGCGCGCGAGAGCGAGCTGTCAATCTAAGACTACACTGAAGGATAAAACAATTGCTTTTAAAATTTCTAGTATGTTAAGATATAAAGGCATTTAATGAATGCCAATAGAGATTGTGAGAATAAAGTGATGCTGTTTTTCTTTAGGGAATGAAGTCCCTCTTCTACTTTCAACACAAAACAGGAAGCTTTATAGATGCCAGTTTGAAGGATGATTCTCCTATTGTCAAAGATTTAACCTCCCCAAAGATGTAAGGTTCAAGAGAAAATTGTGTTCAAGTTGATTCATTACGGATCTTGTCTCATCCTCTGGGAAGTATGGGAAATTCAACTCAAATTCATTAACAGTCAAAAATTAATTTCAACAAAAGACAGGTGAACTTTTATATTAAAAAAATCCCAATTAGTTAAAAAAAATAATTTCTAACTTCAAAAGGTCTTTTTCTTCCCAGAATGACCATGACCTTTATGACAGTCAAGCCCTCTAGAACCTTTGTCCAATAGGAACAAGTTTAGTTCCCAGGGAACCAGGCCTTTAAAAGGTCCACAGGCCAGCTGACTGAATAGATGCTTTATTTGAAATGGAATGCATTTTGATAATATGAAAAATAAATCACATCTCTTCAAAATCACTTGAGACACATTTACACAAATTCCAACCACACTATTAAGTTTGCAGTGTGACAGTTTGTAAAACATTTGGTACATGGTAGTACTTGCTTTCCAGAAGCTATTGTTCATGTGTTCTGAAACTTGGAGTAGAAAACTGACAGCTGACAGTGGAATGTAACAAAGACTTTTATCTTTCTTGGAAAACATGCTTCTCCACTGTCCAATCACCAGCAAGCCAGCTTCAGAGCACTGGGGAGTTGTATGCAAATACTTCTAATGACTAGGAATCCTTCTGTTTCCTTCATTGTACAAGAATGCACCACCCTACCTGTTTTTTTTTTTTTTTTTTTCTTTTTTTATTGTCTTTGTGGTGCTTGGGATGGAACCCACTTCTAGACAAGTGTTTTACTGCTGAGCAACAGCCCCAGCCTCAAGTATACCCTAAGAAAACTCTGATGGATCCTGCTCCATTTGGCATATATCCTAACAACAAAGTCACAGATCACTTTGTCAGCCAATCCCACATAACTGGATTGGATATTCAACATTGCAGATCCAAAACATCACCCTTCAAAACTGTGTCAAGAATTTAGAAAAGAGTTCCTAAAACCTATTCAACATATTTCCACAATTAAAACATTTTAGGTTGCTTTAGGTTAACAGGTGTATTTCTCTAGAAGGAATCACACTGATGGCTGCAATATCATGATACATAATTTCCAAGTTTTAAATTTATTCTGCTGATGGTATGTATTAATAAAGCAAAAATGAATTAGGTTTTTTTTTTCTCTCTCTCTCTCTCTCTCTCTCTCTCTCACACACACACACACACACACACACACACACAAAGCAACTGCTTGCAGACCTCTCCTCATCCCACAAAGTTCTATGGTCGTGGAATTGCTGCGTGCTTGCTCAAGTCTTAGACCCTTCTAAGCCTGCTACTATCATATGGTTAACACCTGCAGCTAAATGATACCACATCACTTTCTGGGGAGGAGGCAGAAAACAAATGATGTATTTGACCAGGCAGAAAAGTTGTTTAGTGTTAGGGCATTTTTAGAGAAACACAGAGCACTTCATGTATGAGAGCAAAAAATGGATTTTTCAACTTAAGCCAGACTTCGTAAGAGTATTTACACATAAGGAGAGCTCCTTTAAGCAATACATAGTTTCGGTTTTTCTTTTTCTTTCCTTTTTGTTTTTCTTGCCATCATTAGAAGTGAAATGATACAAGTTGGCTTGACTCATACATGATTAGAGAATCTCAGCTTGCTCAATGAGGAAAAATGTTCATTTTGAAAGGGCTCTTTTATAGATGTTTATTCACTGACCTCAACATTCCCTGTAGGGCATAGGCAGATCTAAGTGGATTTCTGCTAAGAAAGAATGAAGGAGCTTCATGATGCTTAGCCTGTCCCTGAATTTGTTGTTCTCAGGGAACTTGAGAGCTAGTGAAGGAAGCACTCAGCGAGGCAAGAGAAACCACCTCCTGGGTGCTGAGGAGTTACATATTTTTTTCTTTTTTCAATCATTTGTCCCTACTAATGGTAAGTAGCTGCATTGTAGGCTGGGTGCCAATAAGAGTTTAAGGACAAAAGTTCAATTTCCAGATGGGACACTACTTTTTTAACTTTTCACATTTGATGTTTGTTTGTGTTTGGGAGGGTGGTTCTATTGGACCTGCCCTTTTGTTCTTTTTCTTGGGTTAGCTGAAAGTATTTTTTTAAATMTTTTTCCATGAAGCTGACTTGTCAGGCTTCACAGTACCATAGGTGGTTTGTATCATTTCCTTCCAGGTAGGACAGAGCCACTGAGATATCAAATGATGTATATTTATATTTTTGTTTAGTTTTGTTGAACATGCATGTTATTTTGCTCTGGAAAAATTATTAAGCCAGAAGAGTTTCAAAGTGTTAAAACAATAAAAACCGTCCTACTTCTGCTAGTTTCTGAAATTTCACAGTTAAATGCTAAGAGGGATTGATTCTAACTAGACTGCCATAGTGATGGTCAAGTCAATATAAATCTCACAGTAGACCAAGGGACAAGGGCTATGGAAGAACAAGAAACTATGATTCTGGCAGTACCACTAAGAGCCATGGCTATTGTAGGGGGAAAACTGGAGCAGCCAAGAGAAAACTGGAGCATATTTTTTTTCAACAATGAGATTATCTAGCTCTGTACATAAGCTAACAACATACAAATGCCTTTTAAAAAACCTACATCAATCTTAATTTTCAAAGTATTTGATACAAATGTTTATAACACAATTATTTAGAAGAAAAATCCTACATTTGAAACAGAGCTGTGGATTAATTGGGGTTATTATGATCTACATGTATTAAAACTACAGTATTATTAGGCATTTCCTAAGTCAGATCAAACTGAATTTAAGAAATCTTTTGACCTTGTCTCTCTGAGCTGTCCCATATACCTATAATGTCTTTAAATCTTGACAGTACATTTTCACAACTTCAACCTAAACAGCCCCTAGAAGTGGGAGTTCACTTATGTTTTGTTGCGTGCTATTTGTATAAGTTTTAATTTTCCCCTGTAACTTCTTGGGTAAGAGTTATATCAAAGTTGCATCATTTAAAATTCATTGAAATTCCTTTCTAAATAGAAGGAGAATAAAGACATCTCCAGCATACAATTCTATTTTCATTTCTTGACTGTATAATTTAGCAGTGGTCTACAATGACCATTCCAATTTAAATGCTGGAAAAATACTGACCAAGATACTGTGAAAAAGACACTGGAAAACAGAGACCCATTTTGAAAGCCATGCAGATAGGAAGTGATTTTTAGCCCCAAGAGGATTTGGTACCATCTACGGCTCTTTCTAAGTAGCATCTGCCCTGGTGGATTCTGACCATCCTTTTGATTTAACACAGAAGGAGGTTTGTTCTACCTTTAAAAGCACATCCTCTCTCCCCCACCCCCCCTCAGACTCCTAAACAAATGGCTGCTAAAACAAGACTGGGGTTGTTTTCTTACTGAAATCCATTGTTTATCCAATCCTTCCTTTTTCAATTCTGAGTTTAGCTAACCTAAGAAAACATATAACCCTCTAATTTCTCACAGAACAATAAAAACAGTTGGTTCTTCTAATCAACATTATTTTCTGTATGAAAATAAAAAAAATATGACTTCTAGTCCTTTGATATATTTACAAACTATATTTTAAACTATGAGATTCTTAGTGTGCTTGTAGAACAAACTGAAAGGATAAGAAAATGTGGTTCAATTCAAGTGTGCAAAGCTCTTGGTGATGGGTACTTCAGTATGGACAGGAGCACAAATACTTTTAAACAAGTTGAATGATCCCACACACACACCCTCCCAACCACACTACATTTTCTAACTGAAACATCTAATGCATTCATATTCAGAAAGCACAATTAAAAGGACTGTTTTTGTTTTGCTTTTTTGGTGCTGGAGATTGAACTCAGAGCCTGGCACTCTACCATTGAGTACACCCTCCAACTCTCAAAAAGAACCCTTATTAAACCTTCACACACAGATTATATAAGCTCCTACAGCGGACCCAGCCCTACCACATATTTAAGACATGACCATTCTGCCATCAATTAGGTTAAGTTCTAGATATTTTGAAATCAGATGTCATTACTACTGATTCCCGAAAGCATTATCTTGATCATTGGATTTTCATAATTACACAATTCTGAGCTCTTAGCTTTTTAAAAAATTCTGTTCTACATATACTATATGTCTAAGGAAGAAACCTCAAAAAAAAAAAAGTAATATCAGAGTTTAATTTCAACAATGAAAGTGTCAGACCTCCTGAAAATGCCCTGGGAATATTGACTGTATTCTTAATGTTTTCCTCTCCACCATCCTTTTTATCTTTTCTAAGATTAGAACTTACTAGGGAACAGGTTTTTGGGAAAATGACCTACATTCAGAAATGTCTTAGAGCAAGTATTTAAAAAAAAACTAATAAATAACCATAAACCAAAATACATTAAAATAAAATTACAGTACATCATAGCTTCTAGACGGTCCACTAAATTAGAAGATCCTTTCAAAGGTTCATAAATAAAGTCTTCTTGACTCAAAATCGATCCCTGCGTCGTGATGAAGAATATGCAGAAAACTAAGAGGAATTGCAAGTTATCAGGTGATGTCCAAACTACTTGGTCTGGTGCAGGGCGGGGAGACTGTTTTGTTTTTGATCCAAGTGAAGACAATAGAAATCTGCTCATCCCACTTCCTCAAGTCCTCAAAACCTGGAAAGAAATGACACCGAATGAAGTATGTTGCTCGGAATTCTTCAAGACCCCGTTTTCTTCAGGTAAGTCCAGGGGACAAAGCACACTCAGAAAGATAATCAGATCGCTCCCAGAGTGCCAGACACACAGTTGACACTGGAGCGCACACCACCCAAGGAGGAGTCAGGTTGGGCATGGAGGCGGACCGCCTGCCTCCCTGCCTGGCCTGAACAACCCCTACCCCCCAATCCTCCCCTCTGTGCCAGGCCCTTCCTGGATCCAGCTTAATGTCTTCTTCACGTCTCTCCCAAAACTTGGAATGATTTCTCATTTTCCCACCTAACAGCCAAACCAGTGAACAAGTTCCTCTCAACACCCCGGAGATCCCACTCCTCTGTGGCCCAAGTTGCGAAGACCTTACCTTGTCTGGCCCAAGTACTGCCCCCTTCAGGCAGAGTTGGAGGTGCTGCGGAGAAGCCGGTGGCCAAGTGGCTGCGAGTGCTGTTGCGGGTGCGTTTGTTGGTGCGGATGTTGTAGTTGGTGAGGATGGGGGTGCGGGTGTGGATGCTGATGAGGATGCGAGTACGGATGAAGCTGCTGAGGCTTGGGTTGGGGCTGAGACTGGAGTTGGAGTTGGGGTTGGGGCAGGGGTAGGGGTTGGGGTTGGGGTTGGGACTGGGGCTGGGGCTGGAGCTGGGGCTGGGATTGAGGCTGGGGCTGAATCTGCGACTGCGGGGGCTGCTGCTGGACCAGGTGCTGCTGCTTCTGCCGCGTGGACTTGACGGCCAGGATGGCCTGACGATTCTTGTACTGCACCATCTGCAGAGTGATCTCGGCGTTCCAACCTTGGTCCTGCGGGCACCGAAAGTCAATCTCCTTGCCCTCCGCCATCACCACAGTGAAATACATATACTTGCCCTTGCGCTCCACGCAGTCTACGGTCTTCATGTTGGAAAAGTGCAATTCCTTGAGCTTGACCGGGGGCTCAAGGCTGGCGACAGCGGGGCCACTGGGTTGCGACGGCTCAGCCGTCCCCTGCCCGGGCTGTTGCTGCTGTTGTTGCTGTTGGTGTTGCAGCTGCTTGGGCGGGATAAGTAGCAGCCCCTCCTCAGTGAGGATGCAGCACTTTTTCTTCCAGAGCTGCAGCAACCCGTCGCTGCGCTTCTCCAGTACGCCCTCCTTCAGTGCCTTGCACCCGCTGCTCTCCAGCATCCTCCCGGCATAAGGGGGGCCACCGCTTGGCTCGGCCTCTCCTCTTCCTGCCGCCCGGGCTGGGGGCAGCAGTAGCAGCCGCGCGCCGTCCTCGCCCCAACGGCTCCCACGGCCGCCTGCCCGGAGCGCGCAGAGGAGGCTAACACGCAGGAGGCAGAGCGGTGGTGGCGGTTCTGAGTCCCGGCAAAAGGGCAGCCGCGTCCTGATACGCCACAAGGTCCTGGAGCTACGAGCTGCCTGGCTTTTGCCGTCCTCTTGCGAGCGCTCACTGAAGGGCACTGGCCGGGCCCCCTCGCGGCGCTTTTGAATGGGCCATCCTCCCCACCCCCAAGTGACACCCAGCGGAAAAGGCGGCTCCTGGCGCCCGCACCGCGGGGGAAAGCCCAGCTCCGAGAGGCGCTCGGCTGCCGGCGCACGCCTCATTAACTTGGGGCCTTCCCAAAGCCGGCCACGAACACGCCCCCTGCTTCCCTTGCTCCGCCTCTCGCCACCCACTTGCTTCAGCGCTTCCTCGCCTGGAAGGCAGCAGGAGCCGAGCCCCGGAAACTCCTCTACTCCGCCCTAGGCGCCCCAGCTGCCTAGCGACTGATGCCAACGCCCAAATTGCGCTGAAAGGCCATCCCCTCCGTCCCGCCTTTCCCTGGCCCACGGGTCCCTCTGCTAACAGCCTCAGAAAGTGAGGATGTGGCGGCGAAGGCGGGTAACAGCTACCAAGCAATGCCGGGAATACAAAGCCCTCTACCCTGGGGAACCAGCCCTAGGGTTTAGCGCCTTACTCTTGAGATCCCACAGAACCAGTTTCTTGGTGAGGAGCAGGGAAGACTGAAAACAAAACTGACCCTAACACACCGCGAAGTATTGCCGAAGCGTCTGCCCCAGACCCGTATGTAGTGTACAAAGGCCCAATAGGACATCGTACTTTTTTGTTCAGTCATTAAATAGTTCTTGGAATAAATGTGTTAAAGCAATAGGGCTACCGCCTCTTTATTTTAGTAAGGGCAGGAAAAGGTGGATGCATTTGCGAAGGAAGCATTTTCCCTTCCTTCTCTCTCGACCCCAGACAACATGTAGTAGCTAATCTCTCCTATTCAGAACACAAGCTTTCTCCGTTCCTTGACCATTCAGCCTGCAACATCTCAGAATAGTTAATCAACTACAAACAGGAGAAAATGTTCCCTGAGATCCCACACTTCTGAGGTAAGGCTTGATCTTACAAACGCCGACTGGCCCTTCCGGTCCCTTTGTACAAAGGCCTAATGGGTCAGATCTATCTGGAATCTCTGTGAACAGAGAAGGTAATGTCCTACCGGACCCCAGCTCCCTCAGCTTCTACTGCTTCTTGAGAAGTGTATAAACCGAGATCTAGCCTGTTAGGGAAACTCATCAAATAAACAGGGAGCGCCAACTATGCACCGACCCAGAGAAAGATAATTTCGCAAAAAAGAAAAATGAAGGCGGGAGCGGGGGCTAACAGGTCCAAGTTAGCTAGGGTAAGAGAAATGGCTACTTCGGTGGCCAAAGTAGAAGGGGTAGTTTAGCTCCGCTTCTAGTCACATGGCTATAACAAAGAATTCAAGAATAAAAAAGCTTGCAAAACTGAGCAAATCATAATTCTTTATGTGTTAAGAAATTCGAACAAATTGAGAGACAATCAGAACAAAGGATGTTTTAAATGAAGGAAAGTCCTGAATCTTAAAAAACACTTGTATTGGAACATGGTTCTGCACCCATTAAATTGCACTTGACCAGATCTCAGGGCTTTCACATAATTGGTTTAGAAGCCTTTAAAGGAGAAGGGCAATTACTGAAATTTTGTAAAGATTTCTAATAATATCATTAGATTTATAATTCTATGTATCAATGACAAACACTATATCTAACATCTCAATTTGTTTCATTCTTTGTGGGACAACTGAGCATTCCAGAGAATTTCTACATGACCAGCTGTTTATCCTTTTAACAGAATGACATTCTTTAGCTCATTTAGAAAAGATATGTCCTTTAAATCTACAATCTCTGAGGGCAGGTGTCATTGACAAAGACATTTCATAAGGAAAAACATAAACTTGACTGAGTAAAAAATGAGATGTAATCTGAAACCCAAGCCATTTTTTAAGGAGAAAACTCCAGTGTTTGGTGTTAACCTTCTGCAACTTATGAATTTTCCATTGGCTATTTCACAATTACAAGTACCCCGTTAATATTAGAGACCTAATTTTATTAGGTCAAATGAGTCTATAATGTGCTCTAACCACATGCATAATTGGAAAGAAAACTTTGTATAAGAACCTTATTTATTGGTGACAACTTTGCTCTTATTTCATCACTACCAACTCAATTTTTTCCTTCTTTGTTTAGTACTGGGGATTGAGCCTAGGAGTGCTTTACTACTGAGCTACATTCCCAGCAAGACCAAGGCCCACCCTTTGAGACAGGGTCTTGCTGGTTTACATCAGTTGCCCATTGGCAGCACAGGACAGTGTTCACTTTTACCCCATGGATAAAGTTCTCTACTTCAATGGCATCATTCTCAACTTTGTTCCTCCTGTCTGGTCACTATCTCCTAAGTTGTTCCTCTTCTCCCAAGTCTTTGAATATTGAAATACCCCAGATCCTAGTCCTTGGTTCTCTTATTTATACTCATTCCCTTTATCTAAATCAGACTCATCACATGCCCCAAAGTCCCAAATTTATATCCCAAATTGTATAAGCAACATGTATAAGCAACATCCAGTTGCTATTGTCAAAGAATAAAACAGACTACTAAAGTTTAACAAAAAAAATTAATATGCCAGGCAAGGGAACACTTAGGAAGAACATATCACTGAGTCATTCACTAAAGTATGAGGGAAGCTTAATTCATAAAGCTTTTTACCAAAATGAAATACATAAAACTCAAAAACATTCTACCTAGAAGGAAGAGGAATCAACAGATTTACACACAATTGAAACAGATTCCTGGCTGGGTATAAAGGCTGAGGCAGGAGGATCTCAAGTTCAAGGCCAGCCTSAGCAAAATAGCAAGACTGTCTCAAAATGTAAAAGTCCTAGGGCTTGGAATGAAGCTCAGTAAAGCACCCCTGGGTTCCATCTCCAGCACCTCACCCCCTGAAAAGATTCCTAGATGAAACTGGTTCAAAAGGTCTGGAGAACCAGGATCGCTAAGTTTATAGTATTAAAACAGCTTTAGCTGATTAGAATGGCTACATGTGAAAAACTGCCTTCAGTTTGGATAGATTTCAGGCCAGCACTACTGCAAGTTTGAATTGTTTTTCTTTTATTTCTCTTTAATATTAACTGGGTACTTACTGTAGAGCTCAACATATGGTCTTCCAACATGTTTTCTCTACAGCCCCCTTCTCAGGTGATGGTGATCAATCTGTACGGCTGATCAAGTCAAAAACCTTGGACCAGGTTTGCCCTTACCCCAGGCCAAGAGGAGCCCTAGGCTTTTTAAGTATTATGTACTTCAGAGTAGTCTATTATGTAACAAAATGCTTAAATATTAAATACATGATACCTGCTTTATACTCTTACCTCAGGACTGCAAATGTGTTAGAAGCATGTCCACCTTCCAGTAATCTCTTCTCTCAATCTACATTTACACAGCAAATTCCATTGGTTGTACTTCAAAACTATATCTGGATCTGATTTCATCTCCTCCATAGATTACTATAATGGCCTACTAATTTTTCTCCTTGAGTTTATCATTGTCTTACAATGTATTTTAAACACAGGAGTCATCCCAAGCACAAGACTTTACTCAAATGTCAGCTCCTCAATGTGGCCTATCCTAATCACTTAAAATTGCAACCACCTGATTCCCATATAGTATTACCTTCTAACATATTACTGAATGATGATCATTGCATATTTGTTTCTTTTTTTTTTTTTTT